TATTATTTTGTGGTGAAAATACTTAAAATCTACTTCGTTGGCATTTTTCAAGAATATAATGTATTGTTAACTGTACTCATGTTGTGCAATAGATCTCTTGAACTTATTTCTTTTATTTAACTAAAATTATGTATCCTTTAACCAACATCTCTCTGACACCTTTGTTTTGTTTTGATGATTTGTTTAGTGTTGTGCTTTGATTCCTTTCTCTTTTTGTAAAACTTCTATAGGGTTTTTTTTTGTGATTTTTTGGGATTTATATGTATCTTCTGGTTATGACCACCAATTTTAATCTGATAATCGCATACGAAACCTCTGTATTTTGTTTCCTCTCTCACATTTTGTTATTGTTTTCATTCTTCACATATATTCATACTGTGTATCTTTTAATATATTTATATTCTAATACTTTTCTCCTTTAACTTTTATATTACTTTTAAAAGTGATTTAGCCACCCCCATTATAGTTTGCAGTAATGTCAGTAATGTATATTTGTCTTCATATTTATCTTTACCAACAAGTTTCTTTCTTTTACAAAATTTTTTGTTTTGTAAATTAAAAAAAAATTTTTTTAGAGACAGGATCTCACTCTGTCACCCAGGCTGTAGTACAGTGGCATGAGCATAGCTCATTGTAGCCTTGAACTCCCAGGCTCAAGTAATCCTCCTGCCTTAGCCTCGTAAGTAACTAGGAATACAGGTATGTGACACCATGCCTGGCTTTTTTTTCTTTTTTCTTTTTTTTCTTTTTTTTTTTTTTTTAAAAATTTTTGGTAGAGATGGGGGTCTTGCTATGTTGACCGGGTGATCTCAAATTCCTGGCCTCAAGCAATTCTCACACCTCAGCCTCCCAAAGCACTGGGATTGCAGCCGTAAGCCACCACACCCAGTGGACTTTCTTACGCTATGGTGAAGTTGACTGACATTTGGTTCCGACTTGAAGAACTCCCTTCAGTGTTTCTGGTAATGCAGGTGCAGCAGTGATGAAGGTTTTCATTTTTGTTTGTCTGGGAAAGTCTTTATCTCCTCTTCATTTTTGCTAAAAACTCACTGATAGTCTTATGAAACTTCCCTTGTGTATGACAAGTCACTTTTTTCTTACTGCTTTCAAAATTGCCTCTTTAAATTTTGACAGTTTGATTATATTGTCTCTCAGTGTGGATTTTTAATTTTTGGTGCATCTTCTCTGGTATCCTTTGGCTTCCTGGATGTGAATATCCATTTCCTTCTGCAGATTTGGGAAGTGTTCAGCCATTATTTCTTTGAATAAGCTTTCTGGTCTTTTCTCTTCTCCTTCAGGGACTCCATAATGCAAATATTTGTCTGCTTGATGGTATCCCATAGAGCTTTCTTCACTCATTTCTATTTTTTTTCTCCCTTTACTAAATTATTTCCAGTGACCTGTCTTTGAATTCACTGACCCTTCAGTTGATCCAGTCTGCTGTTGAACCCTTCTGGCAAATTTTTCCTTTCAAGTATTATGGTTTTCAGCAACATGATTCTTGCTTGGCACTTTAAAAATATATTTTTTTATCTGGCTGGGCGCGGTGGCTCAAGCCTGTAATCCCAGCACTTTGGGAGGCCGAGGTGGGCAGATCACGAGGTCAGGAGATCGAGACCATCCTGGCTAACACGGTGAAACCCCGTCTCTACTAAAAAATACAAAAAAAAAAACTAGCCGGGCGAGGCGTAGGCGCCTGTAGTCCCAGCTACTCGGGAGGCTGAGGCAGGAGAATGGCGTGAACCCGGGAGGCAGAGGTTGCAGTGAGCTGAGATTGCACCACTGCACTCCAGCCTGGGCCACAGAGCGAGACTCCGACTCAAAAAAAATAGAAAAAAGAAAAAAAATATATATATATATATAATTTGTTTGTTAAAATTATCACTTTGTTCATGCATTGTTCTCTTCTCCTCAGTGGATATCTTGATGATCGTTATTTTGGTTCTCTATCAGGTAAATCACATTACTCTGTTTCATTACAATTGGTTTCTGGATATTTATCTTACTCCTTTCTTTGGTACTTTTGTTGTTGTTGTTGTTTTTTGAGACGGAGTCTCGCTCTGCCGCCCAGGCTGGAGTGCAGTGGCCGGATCTCAGCTCACTGCAGCCTCCACCTCCCGGGTTTACGCCATTCTCCTGCCTCAGCCTCCCGAGTAGCTGGGACTACAGGCGCCCGCCACCTCGCCCGGCTAGTTTTTTTGTATTTTTAGTAGATACGGGAATTCACTGTGTTAGCCAGGATGGTCTCGATCTCCTGACCTTGTGATCCTCCCACCTCAGCCTCCCAAAGTGCTGGGATTACAGGCTTGAGCCACCGCGCCCGGCCGCTTTGGTACAATTTAGCCTGGTTCTTCTTTTTTATTTTTTGACTGTGTTGATGTCTGTGCATTAGACAAAGCAGGAACCTCTCATAGTCTTCATGGGCTGCTTTTCATCCACTTTGTGTTAAACCACGGGGTGGGGAATCTATGGCATCCACCAGCCCACACCACCCTCTTTCTTTTTCTGGCTGCTAGATTGTCCCATCAGAGCTCCAAGACAGGTAAGAGAAACACCAGCCCTCTAAAGAGTCTTCCAGACACACTGGGGCACTGGATACACAAGCCAACTTCCTCCCTTTAGTGGCAGAAGCTGGGAGCTCCAGGGTCTCCTCCTAATTATATGGCACTGTGCTTGGTTAGGGAATTTGTTGACAGGATGTTCTGAGTCTCTTAAGTGGCTTTTTGGTAAGTCTAGTTTAACATTTGCCTGAGATATGGGAGCCTTTCAATTAGTTTTGGGATTCCTCACAAGGAAAATTTACCCATGAATTGTTTCTAAATTGATGTATTTGTGGGTGAGGGGAAGGTCGGCAACGTCCTACTCTGCCACCTTGTTCTTAATTTTAGTTTTTCTTAAATTTTTTCTCATAGTACCCTTATTCACTATTTCCACTAAAGACATTTTTTTTTTCCTTTTAGTCGCTCAACCTCAAAATCTTAAAGACATACCTTTACTTACTATTATCATAAAAATACTATATCCTAGTTTTTCTATTTCCATGTTAGCACTCTATCTCACTGTTTGTCTATGTCTCCACTGTCTCATCCTAAGATTGTTTTAGGGGCTGCCTAATTTCACTACTGGTCTAACCACTACCTGCTCCTCCCTTATTGCCCTCTTACTAATCATCGATTCAAGACAGACTCTCATCCTCTCGTTACTGCCTCGTGAAGAGTTTTTATTTAATCAGTCTACCTATCTATACACCCGTCTATCATACTATCATGAATACCCAGTGACTCATCACCCAACCTGAAAATTAAGACTTTAGTAGCCACTGAAATCTAACCATAGGCTGCCCCATTTCCATTCCCTTAGTCTCTCCCCTTGAATTTTCTCGCATCCTATGCTCCTCATTTTCGTTTGTTTTTAGTGCACTTTAATGGCATTTATGTATATTCCAGGAAAGCACATTTTTAGTTGCTTCAGTTGTTCACAACCATATAAAAAGCATTACTAATATTTTGGGATTTACGTTTTTCAAACTTAATACTGTGTTGCTAAGATTTAACCAAATTGTAGCATGGCTCTGTGGGCCATTCAGAAAAAGGGATTTCTCTACTGGGTGGAGTGATTGACCCCAGGTACCAAAGACAATGTGTTTCTGCTACCCAGTGAGAGGCAGAAACGCATGATTACAATTGTGTCTGGGGTGCTTCTTAGTCTTTCCATACCCAATAGCAAAGGTGAATATAAACTGCACCAACCAAAAACATTGGGCCTCAGATCCCCAGAAATGAAAATTTGGCTTAGCTGACCAGATGAGGGCCAAGTGCCAGCTTTTTGGCACCTGTGTTCTGAGACCTGAGCATCAAATGTGCGGTCATCCCTCCTTGGAGCGCCTAGGTTTTGGTAACATCACATTTACCCTTTTATTTCCCTAGTTCTGCCTGAGGTGTCGTCTTCATGCAGTTAGTAATCTGTGGGTGGCATCAGCATCTGCCGTCTCACCATTTAGTCTCTTTCAGGAGACACTTATGTAGCCAATTCTCTGTGTCAAACCTTCTTAGTATAAACATACCAAGTGTGGTTTCTGTTTCCTGCATGGATCTTAACTTACCTTAACAGACATACCAGCTCTATAATACATGAGTGAACACTACGTAGTTTGATTATGTTTATTCATTATCAGATTATATTTCAGAAACTAATATTTTTATACATTTTCCTGCTTTCCACCATTGATTTCCACCAATATTTTATATGATCAAAATACTAAAATCGTAAGTGATATGTTAACACAGCTTCTGCCACCAGAGTACAAGTATAGTAGGGGTGGCTAGGGATAAAAGTCCGGTAAAGATTGCATTATAGAATAGTAATTTGTAGCCTTCAAAGCATGAGCCATTTTGACATACACACGTTGTGTCAGAGAGTCCGGCAGATATTATTTTTCCTAATGTGTAGAGGTGGAAGCTGAGACTCAGACTTTTTCAACTTTACTCTGCTAGTAAATTTCTGCTAGCTGGGACATGAACCTGATATTCCTAGACTGTCACTCTGTTTAAATTAAAAAAAAAAAAAAGGCAGGAGTTTGTACAGAGTGATAATTTCAATAAAATATCACATCTGTTACAAGATTTCTGGTAGAGGAATTTCTGGCTTGAAAGAACAAAAGGAGCTTTCTTGAAGGGCAATGACATTGAAGCTGGATTTCTTTTTTTTTTTTTTTTTTTTTTTTTTTTTTTGGAAGTGGAGTCAGCTCTGTGGCCCAGGCTGGAGTGCAGTGAGGCGGGATCTCGGCTCACTGCAAGCTCGCCTCCCGGGTTCCACACCATTCTCCTGCCTCAGCCTCCTGAGTAGCTGGGACTACAGGTGTCCACCACCACGTCCGGCTAGTTTTTGTATTTTTAATAGAGACGGGGTTTCATAGAGACGGGGTTTCACCATGTTGGCCAGGATGGTCTCGATCTCCTGACCTTGTGATCTGCCCGTCTCGGCCTCCCGAAGTGCTGGGATTACAGGCGTGAGCCACCATGCCCGGCCTAGGGCTGGATTTCTAAATGTTTCCCAATTGGTCATTCCAGTATCCAATGTATAATCTCACAGTGGCTATGAGGAGATTCTCTTGCTGAAGAGTTTCCGCAGGGCTGCCTGCACGTCCCGATTTCTCAGACTATAGATGAATGGATTTAATGCTGGGGTCACTGCCACATACATCACAGTGATCACTGCATCTTTTGGGCTGTAACTGGTCAGAGGGCGCAAATACATGCCCATCGTTGTACCATAATATAAAAAAACAACCGTGAGGTGGGAGGCACAGGTGGAGAAGGCTTTAGATAGACTCTTGGTGGAGGGAACTTGGAAGACTGTGGAAAAGACCTGAACATAGGAGACAATGATACATAGCAATGGCACAGAGAAAACGCCAACTGCTACGTACATCATCTTCACATTAAAGCGGGTGTCAGAACAGGACAACTTCAGCAAAGGCATAACGTCACAGTAAAAATTGGCCACTTCCTGGTTGCCACAGAAGGACAAACTAGCTGTGAGGAGAGTGTGGGGGAGGGCACTGGCGTTTCCAACCACCCAAGACCCAACAACTAGCAGGACACAAGACCGTGGACTCATAATTGTTGTGTAGTGAAGTGGGCGGCTGATGGCCACAGCTCGATCATATGCCATTGCAGCCAAGGTATAGCTGTCTGCATTCGCCAAGGCTATCATGAAATACATCTGCGTTAGGCATCCCCCAAAGGAGATGGACGTGCTGCCCAAGAGATGGTTGGCCAGTATCTTAGGGATGCTTACAGATGAGGAGAATATGTCAACCAAGGAGAGGTTGACAAGGAAAAAATACATGGGGTTGTGAAGGCGAATGTCAGCATGAATGGCCAAGATGATGAGCAGGTTTCCAGTCAGTGAGATGGGGTAAATGCACAAAAAAATCACAAAGAAGACATTATTCTGTTCTTGCTGACCGGTAACTCCCAGGAGAATAAAATCCAGATGAGAGGATTGATTTTCTTTCTTCATGGCTTCTTCAGCATGAAAAGGGAGAGGAACCCAGAATTACTTATGCAGTTAGTGTGTGTTACGGGTCCTCCTTATCTATCATTTAAAATTTTTTAAATTTTAATTTACAAATTCACCTGCTGTCAAACTTATCCACCGCTGTTGATTAGCTATGGCTCTACCTGGTTTTTACATTCATAAACAGAGCCAGCACTTTTGGGTAAAATCTCAATGGTCAATGGGACTAACTGTCATTCACCTCCTGGACACTCATGTCTAAGAAGTCAGCAATCGGTGAAGTAAAGATGGTTATCCTTCCAAATTTAGCACCGCAACCTTAATATCTATAATCATATAACAACCTAATTTCATGTTTCATGTCTTAGATTTTTTTTGACTGTGCAGAGAAATAACAAATATGTGAAAATACAGTTATTCATCCACTTATTTAACATATAAGACATAGCATCTGTTCTCAAGGACCTTATAATTTACTAGGAAAGGCAGACTCACACAATAATTTTATTATGCATGGTAAGGAAACGTAAGCCTCTTGGAGTCTTTGTAAAAAAAAAAAAAAAAAATACTCCAGTGCAAAGGATGTGTCATACAAGGAGTGCAGTGAACGATTTAAAGTTGTTCCTCCAACCAGTCTTGGGGTGAGCCCAGAGCCCAGAAAGTAAGAGGTGTCTACACTGCCATCAGATTCTAAAGCAGAAAAACAACTGGCATTAGGTCCTAGAAAAACAAGCTCAGTGAACTTACCCCACAGGTGTTCGATTCTCAAAGCAGATCTTCCCTATCTTTTTGACAGGTTTTCTCTCTTTTCAAAACCCTTAACTATACCTGATCACAGTGCTTTTTCCATTGGCCTTTGCCTTGGTTCATTTTGTGTTGCTCTAACAGAATACTTGAGACTGGGTAATATATAAGAAAAGAGGTGTAATTATCTCATGGATCTGTAGGCTGGGACGTTCAAAAGCGTGACCCCGGCTTCTGGCAAGGGCTTTCGTGCTGCATCCATCATAACCTGTGGGAGGTCAGAAGGGAAGTGGATACGGGAAGAAAGAAAACCCGAGAAGTGTACTGGCTTTATCACAACCCACTCTTGCAGGAACATTCTCTTGAAGACTAATCCAGTCTTGAGAGAATGAGAACTCACTTAATACCATGAGAACAGCATCAGACCACTCATGAGGGATCCAGCCCCATGACTCAAACACTTACCACTGGGCTCCACCTCCCAACACCTCCCACACTGGGGATCACATTTCAACATGAGTTTTGGTGAGGACAAACTCAGTCCATAGCAGTCTTCTCTTCCTCCTCTTCCTTATTTCTTTTTGTAATAATCCAAGTCCACAGTGGATTCAACTATTCTTTACTAAACTATCGTGTCTATATCTGTGGTCTCGATCTCTTTTTCCCCTATTTCCCTATTCAGTCATCCTGCTGACATGTCTGACCAAACCCCACACGCTGCACTTTCAACCTAAGTAGTTTGCAAGATGTTTTTGAAGAGGAAAATCAGAACTTGTTTATGTCTTCCAAATTGATTTTTGTACAACATTTATTTTGTGCACCAATTAATTTGCACCCAATTGTGGAGTTGAACCCAGGTTTATTTCATAGTTCCCTGCATGTGGGATTCTCACAGAAATACTCATCCAGTTTATCTGCTACCTGTACATCTGACCTGATTGAATCTTCACCTGAAAAAATTCTTGTATCACTCAACTTTTCTCTTACCCTCACTAGTTTAGCTTAGACCATCATCATTTTCAACTTCAATATTGTAGTAGTCCCTTAACTGCTTCACTACAGTTCTTTCTTCTTTGATCCATCTTGCATTTTGAGATCATACTAATTGTTGCAGAGACTACAAGCTGCTCACCTAAATCTGTGTTGCTATCTTCTTCTTGGACACTCAATTAGACTGCATTTCTCTGCCTCCCTTGCGAGGAGGTGTGGTAAGGTAACTGCGTTCTACTCATCGGTTATAGTTCTCAGCTTCTCTGTACCCTTTCTCTCCTTGTGCCAACTGAATGCAAATGGTGAAGAGGCTGAATGTGATGATGGAGTTGTGTGGTGAAATGAGCCTGTGTCCCCAGTTCTCTCCATCCAGGAGAGCCACTCTCGACCAAGAAGACCCACTATGACTGTTAGACAAAAATACATTCTTATTTGTTTAAACAATTACTCTTATTTGTTTTAAACAGTTCCTTCCTTCCTTCCTTCCTTCCTTCCTTCCTTCCTTCCTTCCTTCCTTCCTTCCTTCCTTCCTTCCCTCCCTCCCTCCCTCCTTCCCTCCTTCCCTCCTTCCTTCTTTTCTTTCTTTCTCTCTCTCTCTCTCTTTTCTCACTCTGTCACCAGGGTGCACTGGCGTGATCTCAGCTCACGGCAACCTCCACCTCCCGGGTTCAAGCAGTTCTCCTGCCTCAGCCTCCCGAGTAGCTGCGACTACAGGCCCCTGCCACCACGCCTGGCTAATTGTTGTATTTTTAGTAGAGACGGGGTTTCACCATATTGGCCAGGTTGGTCTCGGACTCCAGTCCTTGTGATCCGCCTGCCTCGGTCTCCCAAAGTTCTGAGATTACAGGCATGAGCCGCTGTGCCCCGCCTAAACATTTTCTGATGTATTTGTTACTGTAGTCCAACATATCCTAAGGAACTCAATAATTTTTTTCTTAAAAGACTTATGCTCAATAGTTAATCTGATCTATAGTTAATTCAATCATCAGTTCCTGGTGTCTCATATAGTATACATGTGAATTACATGCTAAGCCCTGGGCATGCAGGTCTAATTATCTTATCCCCAAACATGATGTACTCTTTCATCTTTGCACCAAAGTCAGTTGGCTTTCTGTCTTGAAGTGCCCTTTCTCATCGTCACATAGAATCGTAATACCTCAGGTTTCAAAGGACTCAGTAATTTTGGAGGGCTCAGAGATATTAGCTCATATGATACAGAGGTGTAAGATTTCAGACAGAGGAGAACTCTGGGCAACATGGCATAGCAAACTCATGTTGACAGGTCCTATTTCTATTAAAACATAAACGTTCTAGATAAATTATAAAATTTTAAAAAAACGTAGCTAAGCCTAAGAGAAAACTCAGAGTAGGGGTTTTAGGCTATAACTGATGCTGTAGTGGTCCTTTGGGGTTTTGAACCAGGAATTTGGCTCTCAGGGATGGAATCTGTGCTTTTATTTCCTTTTTGGTACAGGAGATGCCATCACAAGTCTGCAGAAGCAGGAAGCTTAACTTGAGTCTGCTTAAAATACTTAAAATACTGTCCTATATTTGAAAGGATCATTGTAAGAAAATTTTGCCCCATGAGAATTGGAAAGGAAATAGAGAACGTTCACAGAAAATGTGGTTGTTTACAAATAAAATCAAAGAGAATCAATAGATACACTAAGAGATTTCAGAAAGCTTGTTAAATATAAATCTTTTAAAATAATCAAGGCTGTTTCTATATTTAGGTAAAAATAACTTAGAAAATATAATTTGAAAAAAATCCCTATTCAGAAAGCAACAGAAATTTTAGGGAATCTAGAATAATTCTAACAAAAGAAGCCCAAGACTGTTAATCAAATATTACAAACCTTTGCTTAAGGAGAAAAAAAGAATATCTAAAAACGTGAAGATTAAAGCCCTGGTGAGGGAAAAACTCAATGTGGTAAAAATGTCAATTCTTCCCCAGTTAATCTATAAATTTGGTGCAATCTAATCAACATACCACAAGTTTATTTTAAACATGGAACTTGCCAAACTATCCTAAAATTGATGTAAACAAAGAGCCAAGAAGTCTAAGTCCATTTGAGGAAAAGCATGAGGAGAAAAAAATTACTTTTTCAGGTATTAAAATGAATTACTATGTTCTCAGAAATAAGTTCTAGTATTTGATAGTACAGTAGGGAAATTAGAGTTAACAATAATGTATTATTTCAAAAGAGCTAGAAGAGAAGAGTATGATGTTCCCAACACAAATGCCAAAGGTTCTAGGTGATGGATATCTCAGTTCCCCCAGAAAGAGCATTACACGTGGTATACAGGTATCAAAATATCACAGGTACCCCCCAAATATGTATGACTATTATATTATCAATTAAATGGGAACGAGTTAAAAATGAAAAATATAAAGTATATATATTCCTTAAAAATGAATTACTGTGGTAGTTCAAGCACTTGAGTAGTTCTGGTGTAGGGACTGAAAATTAAATCTATGTAACAGACTGGAGAGCTCAGAACAGACCAAGCATTGCACCAAGCGATTTATTAGACACTGGTGTATGACATGAGTTGGTTTATAATACTGTAGGCAGAGAAAGGATGGACTGGCTTTAGCTAAGAGTGCTGGAACAATGGGATACCCATTTATTTAAAAAATGCAGAAAAATAATTCCCAAGGGATTAATTGTAAGCGCAAAGCTTCCAAATTTTAGAAGAAAAAAGAGAAAATATATTTGTGATAGAATTTATTTCTTAGGCCACATAAAACATGAAAGAGAATATTGTAAAATTTGACTACATTGAAAATGGAAAACATTTGATAAAAAGCATACCATAAGGAGGGGGGAAGATGAACCGTGAACTGAAAGAGGTATTTGCTGAACGCATAATGAAAATGGAATTCACATTCAGAATATGTAAGAGTCCTATACACCAATAAGAATAATTTTTAAAATTTTTGTAGAGACAGGATCATGCTGTGTTCCCCAAGCTGATCTTGACCTCCTGGTCTCAAGTGACCCTCCCACCCCAGCCTCTCAAAGAGTTAGGACTACAGGTATGAGCCACCACGCCTGACCTCATTTTATAAAAAATAATGTGATTGAAGAAAGTAAGTTACTGGAAGATATATACTATATCACATAGTATGTGTACATTTTAATGGATAAAGTAATACATGTGCATGTAGTCAAAGTATAAATCCTGACTGGGAGTGTACTACCAACTCTAGAATTGCAGTTGTGTCTGGATGTAAATGGGAAAAAATTAGATTTGGGATGGAAACAGAAGGAATCTCGAAAGTATCTGTAGTATTTATTTATTTAAAACACTTGGAGTAATTAAAACCACATTCTTATATTTGTTAAATCTAGATAATAAATTGTTGTTATATTATTCTCTTTGTTTTTCTGATGTTTTAATCATAGTATTATAACAAACAAATTTAATAATTTAAGGTAAAGATTTCACATATTGGATAATAATTGGATCCATAGTGTGTCCATGGCACTGGGAAAAG